GGCACTCCGAGGCAGGAGGGGCCGGGGCATTGAACTGCTGGGCAGTACCAGGCCATCTGGCCCCCTCTGCCTGCCAGCTGTCCTCCCTAAGCTGGGAGAGCCCCCCACAGTGGGGCACTGGTGGAGGCTCATTCATCAGAACCAACCAGAAGGTGGTGAGGCACACCAAGAGGCAGGGGACCCAAACTTACATTGGTTTAAAAACCATACCAGAATTTAGTTCAACATCCCAAAAAAACAATCAAGAGAACAGCAGAAACCTACTCACTTGGTTCTGGGCCCAAGAGGACTGCCAATGGCTTCTCAGCCCTCAGGCCTCACAGGGAACCCTCATGCAAGGAAACCTTCTGTAACTGTGGAGAAACAGATGCAAGGTGCGGTGGGGGGGAGCAAGCAGCGACACTTCTGGTGTGGGCCTCAGCCCCTGACCCTCATTCCACCCATTGGAGCCGTTCTCAGGCCACCAGAGGGCGCCCAGACTCCGTGCAAACCAATAACACACACCAGGTGGCTGGCTGGGGTTTCTCTCGTCTTTGAGGTGCCTACCTGCTCCCCATAGCCACCCCACACACTCCCAGCAAACCCCCTCCAAACTCACCTCCTTGCATGAGGCCCAGCCTGTCTGTTTTATACATTGCAGCCCTCATTTGGGCATTAGCTCCCCCTCCCTGCCCTGAGGCGCTGAGGCCCTGACCTCATGGGAGACCACGGACCCTGTGCAGTGCCTCTGGACTCCAGCTGCATTTACACCGTCACTGTGGGCCCCTTTCCCCACCTTCACTGTGCTGCTGAGGTTCCTTCCTGATCCTGCCAGCCTGCCATCCCTCAGCCCAGGCCTTCCGTTGGGCCCTCATGACTGAGTCTATCCTTTCTCCCCACACAGGGTGGTGGCAGCGATGACACAGAGCTGCGGTACTCGTCCCAGTATGAGGAGCGCCTGGACCCCTTCTCCTCCTTCAGCAAGCGGGTGTGTGAGCCTGGCCTGACCCCACCCACTCACCTGGCCTCAGCCTTCCCTTACTGCCCACTCCAGCAGCCCCGGTCCGTTCACTGAAGCCCAGCCTCACACTCACTCCACACACAGACCACCAGGGCAGCCTGCATGCCCACTTTGGTGCCATGTAGGCCCAGGGTCCACCTGGGGCGGGCCCAGAGTACCAGGAACACCTGCCTGATGGCTGTGTGACAGTGAATGGATTAACCTCAGGTGTACACTCGGGGTTGAGGGGTAACAGGCAGACAGGCAAAGAGCTCCCAGTGTCAGGTCACCTGTAGTACCCCCCCTCCATTAGTGTAACTCCCCTCCCCCACCTCCCAGGCCATAGAAGCCCTGCCAATAGACTTTCCCTTAGGCAGAATGGGCCACCACAGAGAGCATGAGGCAGCTGTTCCTGGGAGGAACTTGGGATGTCACACAGAAGAGGACTGGGTACCAGGAAGGCAGGCCCCTGGCAGCCCCCTGGTATTCTACAGGAACAGCTGGTCAGAGTCCCTTTCTGTAGTGAGCCCGGGCCTGTGGGGGTCCTCTGGGGTCTTCTCATTATCCCTCCCACTTCAGGAGCGGCAGCGGAAGTACCTGAGCCTAAGCCCCTGGGACAAGGCTACACTCAGCATGGTGAGTCCCCTCCTCTGTGCCCACCAGGGATAGGCCTGAGCTCTGTCTCTGGGCCTCCAAAGACATCAACCCTGAAGGGCTACCTCATCACCTGCCATCCAGCCCAGGCTGGAAGAGCCCCAGCGACCCCAATGACCCCTTACAGGCCCTACCAAGAGTGGCTATATGATCCAGGACAGGGTCCCTCTCCTGGAAGACAGCTCCTCTCATAGCAGATTCTGGAATCCTGCTGCAGAATTCCTATGGCCCAAATTCCTGGCCTATACAGTGGAATGGGAGCCAGCTGCCTGCCCTCCCCTCTCTGTGCTGCCCTGGGGCCTTCTCTGCAGGAGCCCCAGGCAGCCCTGCAGGAGTGGGTGGAGCTTGTCCCATCCCCACTCCACACCTTGTTTGCTCCTCAGGGGCGACTGGTTCTCTCCAACAAGATGGCACGCACTATTGGCTTCTTCTACACACTGTTCCTGCATTGCTTGGTCTTCCTGGTGAGTGTCTAGGCGGGCGATCAGGGATGCATTCACCATGCTCCCCTGACCCCCTCAGGGGCAGAAGGGACCCTGGTACTGTGACCTGGTACCTAGGCCATCCCAAACCCTCACTGTCTGCTCTTGGCCACTTCTCTTCCCTTCAAGGACCTCAGCCCATCCTGGGGATGACAAGCCCACTCATTGGGCCCTCTGGCTGGGGCAGCAGTCCTGCCCCTCTGTGGAAGAGGCCTGGCTGGCTCCATCCAGGGCCCGGTCTTTGAGGGGCTTGGTAGAGAGAAGGACTGCTGTGGGAGTCTGAGGAAGGCAGGAAAGGGGGTCTTTCTAAGTCTACTTAGAAAGGGACAGGCAGGTGGGCTGCTCAAAGAAGGGACATCCTGTTAGTGGCACAGCCCTTGCAGAGGCCATGATGCCCACACGTCCACTGAGTTGGGGGAGAGGGTTCTAGCCTCAGAGACCACTCCCCCCGCCCCAGCCCCAGTGAGGCTATAGTCAAGATGTCCCCTATGTCGCTAGCCTGAGCAACTCTGACCCCAGGGCCCAGCAGGTCCTGGCCCTGCCAGTGGTACACCCAAAAATGTTAGGGATGGCACTTCCGTGTCCAGGCCTGTCTAACCACCCTTGAAACTGGTGCGCACAGAAGCATCTCTAAGGCCCACCAGCCTGGGGTCTGGGCCATGGGAACTGCCCCAGGGGAGGTAGATAGACTGCAGGAGTGGCTGGGAGGCAGGAGAGGCAGTTCATGATGTCTCCGCCTGGCAGGTTCTCTACAAGCTGGCATGGAGTGAGAGCGTGGAGAGGGACTGTGCCACCTTCTGCGCCAAGAAGTGAGGATGTCCCCTGAGCCCCACCATGGTCCCACACTGAGCTCTTCCTCTGTTCCCTGTCCTTCATCCCTCCACCATTGCCTCAACTCTGGTCCACCCCACAGCCCCCCACTATGCCCTCTGATCTCAGCCCCCATCCCATCACATGGTGCATGACCCTGGAGATTTCTATGCCTCCCACCTCCCCCACCCCACCCTACCACACACTTCTCTCCTTCTTATACTCAGCCACAGCAAAGTTTTCTGTGCCCCACAGATTTGCCGATCACCTGCACAAGTTCCACGAGAATGACAACGGGGCAGCGGCCGGTGACTTGTGGCAGTGACATCTCAGGGCCTCCCCCCTCACAACAGTGATGACTGCATTCCCCGCCCCTGCTTATTTAGCTGCTTCTAATGACAGGCTTCCCTAGAGAATCCCCATGGAAACTGCCCTTGCCCTCCGCCCAACAGTGCCAGAGGTCCTAGGCCCCCTTTAAAGAATGTCTGTCACTTCAGGCCTCCTAGGTCCAGAAAGTCCCAAGGCCCAGCCCGCCTGAGCCAAAGAGGTCCCTCAGCCCCATCTCAGGCTGGTGATCTGGCCTGGGCCCTGTCCACAGTGTGACCACTAGCTCTACTGACAGAGAGGCTGTGATACTGAGTTCCCACTGTTTCTGGCCATGGTTAATCCAGTTGGGATCCCCTAGGCCTCTCTGTGCCAGGCTCTGGGATCCCCTAGGGCTGCCCTAGGATCCACCACCACCTCCCAAGGTGTAGAGGACCCTCCTTTGCAGGCCAGCAGTCTCTGAGTCTATCCCTCTCCCCCCCAAGGCCTACCTTTGTCATACTCTATCCTACCCCCAGACCCACCATGATTTTTGCTTTATTCTTTAGCAAGGTATTCTGGCTTCTAGGTGAGGAGTCTCCAGTGAGCACACCCACATGCCATGGGCTCTTCAGACCCAAAGACTGGTCTGAGGGGCCCAGGTGCTTCTCGGCCAAGCAGAACATCCTGGCCTGGCCACCTTGGGGCCACTGACAGATCTTCCTAAGTTAAATTTGTGCTTGCGTGTTCAGCTTTCCACATTTTGAATAAACATATGGTTGCATCCACACTGGTGCCTGTGCCCTGTGACTGGGAATATGAGAGGCTGGTGGGTTCCTGCAGCAACACACTGGGAGCTGAGGTTATATCTTTCAGCTACTCTGCTGATGCAGGGCACAGCCCCTGTACACAGGTCTCTCCCACTTTTTCCATCCAGAAATTCCATGGTTGGGTCCAGAGCTTTGCTGAAACACAAACCTACAGTGTCTGAGTTCTCTTAAGCAGACCAGCAACCCAATCAAAAAGAGAAATACATTCCTTTAAAAAAAAATCAGACTGTGGTTGAATGTGTAACATGTATTGGATATGTGACATCAACTCCTGGGGAATCTCTGCTTCCTTCTCTGTGCCCAGGAGCCATGCTCTTGTGTCTCTCCATGTCCTCCACGTCCCTTTCCCTTGGGGTCCTGTTTGCCCCTGGCACTATGGAGCCCATGCCCACCAAGCGCCCTGAGTGTCAGCCTTGCATACCGACACCTCTGAGCCAAGGTTTTGGGCTGCCTGGCCTCAGCCCAGGCCCCTCATGTGGGTCTCCACCCACCCAGACAAGGAGCTTCCTCTTAGTCTGTGGTGGTTGGCATTCTCTCACTGGCCAGGTGGCCTGAAACACTGGCTCCATACCCAGCTCCCACCCTGCAGTGCTATCCCTGTCTCAGTCCTGAACACTCTACAGCTTGTATACCCAGGGCCCCCCCCTTTGGGGTCCCACCCCAAAACCCCTCATCATCTGCCCCATCACACTTCCTCCAAGGCTCCAGAGCCTCCTGCCCTCAGGAACCTCAGATAGCCCTATCCTCCCTGACCCTCATTCCTGTCCCCATGACGGAGATGCTCTTGACCAATCAGTCTCTCCACCCCACCCCAGCCACTTCCACATTCCCACTACTGGTTCCTCCTTGTAGGTCAGAGTCACTAAACAGCTGGCTCCTCCTCACTTCCTCCTCCCTGAGGATAAGACTTGTTGTCCTACCCACAGTTTCATACCCCAGGATCCTCTCTGGCCAATGACAGCCCATCAGTGGATCTCAGCCCACTACTCGGAACCAGGTTAGTCCTCTGGAGGCCAGGTTCTCCCATCTCCCAGGAGGGTGGGGTCCACAGCCCCATCACCCAGTACGGAGTCTCCCTGGCTTCTCTCCCACTCTACAGGCAGTCATCCTCCCACCTTCGCATTCCCACACCCCTCCCAGACTCATTCATAGGCCTGGTTCCCAGAGCCAGGCTCCAGGCCAGTGTGCAGCTCCAATCAATGGCTGGTCCACATCTAAGATTTCATTAAATCTTTGCTGGCCATATCCTGCTGAGAGAGCAGCTGGTATGTGTGTGGAAGGGAAGGGCTAGGTTCCAGGGCCTCAGACAAGGACTGCCTTACTTCAGAGCCCATGTGGAGGGCAGCCCAGAGCTGGTGGGCAGGAGGTCCAGGTAGGGCTCCTGGCCAGTCTCCACCTTCACCAACCCACTGTTCCTCTCTTACCCCATGCTTTCCATCCACAAGACATAAAAACCAGTCCTTGCCTGTCCTGCTTCCTGGAAAATTAGATGTGAAATGGCTTTGGGAAAGGTTAAGGACCCTCTACAAGCATCAGAGATCACTAAGGGTGGGAGGGAGCAACAGATGGAGGCACTCCCTAGCAGACTGCAGAACTGCCAGAGGTAGGGCTGCAGAGGGTTTAGTGAGGGCAGGGAAACGCTGGTCTAACTGCCTGCAGAGGAGGAGGGCCTGGGGCTGGGGGCAGGAGGGAGAAGAGGAGAGAAGCTCGGGGACCCCAACCTCTCCCCAGGAGCAAGCAATAGGTCTAATCACTAAGCAGCTCTTACCCACTTCTGTTTACACGGATTGATGCCTTCCCTCTCAGACCCCTTCCAGGCCAGCTGGAGTCCCTCCCCCCTCCTCGGAGGTCTCCTGGAGGCCCCCAAGGGTCAGCCCACAAGTGCCACAAAGGCTAGCAGGAGTCATTGCTTTCGTAGCCAGACCGGCCTCTGCCCTAACCTATGCGGGGGTTCTGGGGCTGTGGAGCGGAGCAGGGGTGAGGAAGCCAGGGCTGTAGACCACTAGCAGCCCCGTATGACCTCTGAACAACGAAGTGGAGCGAAGAGAGGTGGGGGCCTGCTCAGGTCTTCCCTGCCCTGTAGCTTCGTGAGATTTCCGGCAACCGGAGGGCTGGAGGGAGGGGGGCGTGGTGCTCACCCTCGGGATTTACGAGAAGCAGACATCGACTTCCCCGGTTGTGACATCTGGGCCTCTTCGAGGCTCCCATTGTCCCAGAGGCGGAGGGTCTGGTGCAGTGGCGACCCCCGCCGGGGGACCGTCACCAAAGGGTGGGGCCCCATACGCCCCACCACGCAGGCCACCCACCCAGCCCCCAACCGCCGAGCTCCGGGGAACGCTCCCACGCCGGGGGGATTCCGACGCCTGGCCCGGGGCCGGCTCCGTGAGACTAGGCGGTCGCGGACTCACGCCCCAAACGGGACGGCTGCAGGCCCTTTCTTAACCCCTCTGGACTCCAGGACTCCGCCAACCCACCACAGCCGCGAGTACAGCTCCCGCTTTGCAAGGGGCCGGGGGCGCGGTGGGGGCGGGGCCTGCGAGGCGGGCGGGAGGCGGGACTCGCGCGGGGGGCGGGGCCGGGGAGGCGCGCGCCGCGCGGGCGGGGGGCACAAGGAGGGGAGCGGGCAGGGTACGCGCGGCGCGGAGGTGGGCTCGGAGAGCGCCGGGCTTGGCTGTCGGGAGATCCGAGCCGGGGCCGCGCTGGGCCCGCGAAGAGCGCACGAGCCTTCGAGGTTGTGGATGAGAAAGGGAGGAGCTGCAGCCAACGCCGCCTCTCGCCCGGAGGGAGCATAAACCCGCCGCAGGCCATGAGCCGCCGGGCCCAGGGAGCCCGACCGCGGTCCGGGCAGCGCTCCGCCGGCGCCCCGGCCCGCCCGGCCGCAGCTGCGCGCCTGTAGGTACGGCCTGTTTGTCCTCAGTTCCCTCGTCCCCTCGTCCGTCACCCTGGACCCCATCGGTCCCTGAGGGCATGCGTGTGTGTGCGCACCGCTGCCCAGAGGAGCGCGGCCGCACGCGTCCCGGGTCCGCGCGTGTCGTCTTTGTGTGCGCGGGTGGGAGGGAGTGCGACGGAGATGCGCCCCCTGCGGGGATCGGCTCCCTGACCCCTATCCCAGCCGAGGTGGAGTAACAGGAGGAACCGAGCCGCCTCCGGAGCAGCTGTGCCCCCCGCCCCCTCCTGGGGCCCAGGGCCAGCGGTGGGGCCAAAGCAGCGGGCCCCTAGAGGAGGAGGCTCTGGCTGGGGTGGAGGGGTGCCAGGTCTTTTCCCTAGACTGTGGGGACGGGGAGGGCCAACCTGGAATGAGGGTGAGGGCCACCAGAGGGACCCAATCCAGACCACAGTCGCCGGGGCCGGCACGCCCTCCATTCGGCCCAGGCCTTCTTTCTCCTGGTTACCATTCTCGACCCGCCCACCCCGGGAGCTCTCCTGCAGCCCTGGATAGTGGGGAGGAGGGTGCCCGAGAGGCCGGCGCCTTTAAGAAGGGGCGGGTTCGTGCACTCCATTCAGGCCTTTCGGCCTTGGCCATTGATGAACCTGAGGGCAGCGCGAGGCCCCCGGAACCGCGCCAGCCCATCAGGCCAAGACAGGCAGGGAAGGGACCCGTCTGGGCCCCCAGTAACCCACGGAATGAGGTCTTCAGGGGGAGAAGTCTGCAGTGACTGGGCCCCTCGGGAGCTGCGCAGGGGTACCAGGCAGCCTTAGGAGTGACAGTGAACATGTTAGACCAAAATCTGTGTTCACACTGAGCTGGTACAGGGGAGAGCCTCTGTGTCTGGAGTCAAACCTGGGTTGAACCCTACCTCTGCCCTTTGAGCCTCCATTATCTGCTCTGTAAAATGGGGATGGTGCAGCCTCCATCCCAGCTGGGTGACCAGCAAGAGTTGTCCCCTCCAACACAGGTCACTGAGTATGAGGTGAATGAGCACCTCTGGGAGGGCAGGAGGAGCAGGGGTGGTTATCCCAAGAGGTTTTGGCTGCCTCTGATGGGATATGATCTGAACTCCCCTACTCTGCCACCCACTTTGAACAAATCTCTTCCTTCCCAGCCATGCTGCTCCATCCAGGTTGGGGACTAACCTAGAACCTTTCAGCTCTAGGAACTTTGAGAGAGGTCTGGCAGTGGAGGCAGTGCTGTTAGGCTGGTGTGGGTCGGAGCATTTGGGGGGTCTCAGAGGCAATTTCCCAGAAGCTGCTTTCTTCTACTCTCACCCTCCAGGAAGCATCAATGATGGTGGGCAAGAGTTCTGATTCAAGTTAGTTGAATGGTTCTAAGTAATGGAGGGTTAATGCATTTCTTACCCTTATTGTGGAAAACCTGTCTAAAGTTTCTAAACCCCTCTCCCTACTTAGTGGGTCTCCTAGGAAGAACCCCTAGCACTCACACCCTGGGGAGTGTTGAAGGTAAGATCCCCCAGTTATGTGGAGCCTGTCCCCCCACCAAGGCTGTGAGCATTTGGTTTCAAGCTGACTCCTGCCAGGTTAATGACCTCATGCTGTTTCTTATTTGATCTGCACAACAACTCTGTGGGTTTTGTGCTATTATTATCCCCATTTTACAGAGAAGGAAAGAGGTTCAAAGAGGGGAAATGACTTGCCCGAAGTCACTCAGCCCACAAACCAGGCCTCCAAAACAATTCTCTCTAACAAGAGCCTGGTTCTTATCTCTTAAACTGTCTACCTATCCTGGATTGCAGGGAATTAGGGGTTTAGGTGCCTTGGGCCTCTTGGCTGCTGTCCCTATGGGGTTGTGGTTCAATCATGGAGCCTGTCTCACTTCTACACCTTACTGTCCCTATTAGACTTGGAAGGGTGGTGGCAGTTTTGGAGTCTGGGGAAGTTTCTCTTACCCCCTCTCCTGGTTGGGTCAGTCTTTATGGCTGTGCTCTCAGGAGAGAGCAGATGTGACTTCTCAATATCTGGAGGAGGTCATACCTGTTTGGGCAGAGTGAGACAGGGCATCAGTGTGTGAGAGTACAGCATCTTTCGGCTCCTCTAGGTGAAGCAGGGTTTGGGTTCTATTCTCCAGATGCTCCAACCCTTTGTATATAGGGCCCAGCTGGGTTGTATGGTGGGTATAACACTCATCTGGGGGCTTACAGTCTGGTGACAATAGGCCACAGCAATGTGGCATTGTGGAGGGGCAGGGGGGCCAAGTAGAGGCAGGGACAGGATAAAGGAGGCAATCATTCCCAAGGCCTCTATGGCCTCGGAACCTGCCAACCATTGGGGCAGAGGAGTGGAGCAGGTGGGGCAATGCCAGGCTGAGCGCTAAGACTCTGAGCTGAGGACAAGCGAGTATCAGCCAGGCAGAGTTCAATTGCTCAGAGAAAGGCCCAGCGAACCTTTATAAGCATCCACAATACCCAGAGTTCTGGGGTATTCGGTACTGAGGGGGAGGCATGGTATGTGTGTCATGAAAAAGCCAGAAGGCAGACTGGTGGGCCGAATGGTAGGGGTTGAGGGTAGCGCCCTGCAGGTTTGAGGGGCTGAGTCAGGGGCCAGGGAGGTCTGGGAGAGGTATGAATCAAGGCCAAGGGGAGATCCATGACACAGAGAGATGGAGAGACTGCAAGGCTCAGGCCGAGGCTGGAGAGGTGGTGATGCCTCTGCTCTGCAACCCCAGGAGGGCAAGGCTAGTGCAGCTAGAGCCATGCCAGCCTGTTCTCCAGCCGCACAGCCTCTCCAGGAACTGTCCAGCGCCAGGTGCTCCTGAAGGAGGACGGGATTTCCTCCTAAGCCCCCAGGTCCTGCTGTAATTCATTGTCCCGGGCCCCACTCTCTGCTTATCTGACATCTAATTTCTACAGGGCTCAGCTCTGGATTTTCCTGCCCTCCAGCCTGTCAGAGAGCCCTCTCCTCTAGGGGTGGACATCTCCATTCCTGAGTCAGGGCCTACATAACCCAATTGGGCCCTCAAAGGGAGAGTTCTACAGGGCCCTATTTAGAGTAGCATCTGCTACAAAAAAAGAGCAGATCTGACCTTAGCTCTACATTCTCTCT